AAGAATAAAATGGTGAATGGAAACAAAAGCATATTACACACCACATGATTCAGTCAGTGCAGCAACTACACAACCGCCTCATACATCATACATCAGCTGCATGACGATGCATTCCTCCTGCTGTATCTCTGCATGTCGTGACATTAATTCCTTAATGCACATCTCTGGAGGAAGTCTGATATTTAGCGGCTTTAAGCTCTTAAATCGAGTTATATCCTGATTCTGACAGGCTCCTAACAAGGCTCACAGGTCCTGGTCTGCAGGAAAACAAGGCAGCATATACCAGACAGCGCACCCTGTTAGGGCTTATAAGCCAATTATAAAATTGTTTTTTCTGAATTCAGGTCTGCAAGACTGCAAGTAGATGTACGTTCTGACACCCACTCAAATGTGGTTTTCCTGAAAATGCACAGGACTGCATTACACCACGATGAGATCATCCTTCATTGACTGAATTTGAAAAGCCATTTTCCATCTGCCACATGAAGGATTTTTTTCCCTTCCTCGTGATTTTAATACCTTACGCAAGAAGTGGTTTCTTAACCATATTGAAAACGTGTCAAACTCTTTTTATGAGGGTTAAATTATTCAGGAGAACCATTTGCAAGCTGAGAAAATCCTCCTCGACTCTCACACGCATGCATATTCTTGCACATTTAAATGTACAAAGCTGAGTGCTCAAGCAGGTGTGGCCGGCGGTGGGGTCTATTTGAGCCCTTATCTGTAACTCTAGACTACACCCAGGAGTCCATCTATGAGACGAGGGGAGGGCCCCCAGCCATATTGATCTCCCCGACTTTCTCTCCCCGAGGAGGTGAGGAGAAGGGAGGAGGAGAACAAGATGGAGACATTAGCACCACATTACAGTGTATCACAGCGGACGGGTGATATAGGATCTCATCCAAATTGACTGAGATCTCCTTACCCCACAACACGGATGGTCAAAACACTTCCAAGATGGTGGCTGTGGGCTCTTTGATGGTTCGTCACCATATTTATACCTCACAATACACGTAGTTGCCCAGTGGCGTATTTCATTGTGCAACCTATATATATTTTCCTTTTTAAATAATGCATGCAGGATGTCTGTGTGTATTATGAAGCAGTCAGTAGACGCTGCACATTATATCCAGTGTTGGCCGTCAGTTGATTTATAGCACTGCATTAACTCCATCATGTTAGCCTGATGTGCAGAATTCTGAGTACACGTTATAAAAGCAGAGCACAATCATTGTGATTGATCCGATTGCAGTAATATGCCATGAAAACACTGTACACTGATCAGGGTAATACTTGAGTGAGCGAAAAATCTTATTGGCTGTAGTTGTAGCTTTCTTAAAATGATGATGACACAGCCAGTACTCTGCCAGTGATCCATGTATGATGACTAACCCTTACTAGTGGGTTGGACCACTTTTCCCTTCAGAACTGCCTTAATTCTTCCTGCCGTAGATTCAATAAAGTGCTGGAAATACTTTGGTCCATGATAACAGGATAGATAGGATCTATTAAGTCGATAGCTGGAGACTGTTGAGGCCGTCTGAGTGAGCTCATGGTCAAGAAACCAGCTTTAGATTATTTAAGTTGAAGAGAATATCCCCCACAGCACGGACTGGACCACTGATACAAGCCAGGACAGACCCATGCTTTCGTGTTGTTTATGCCAAATTCAGAGCCTACCATGCGACTGCTGCAGCAGACACTGAGACTCATCAGACTGGACAATATTTGTCCAATCTTCTGTTAAGGAACATCACATGTGAACTGCAGCCTCAGTTTCCTATTCTTAGCTGACAGGAGTGGCACTGCTGCTGCTTTAGCTCGTCTGCTCAAAGGTACGCTGTTAGTCACTGTTCTTACTGTCTTGGAGCAACTGTGACCACGTCATTTCCTCTGGGATTAAAAATATATTCTGATGTTGTAGGTTCAGAGAGGATTTTCAAGGTTGCAATGAATAGCTGAGGTACTGTTACCTTTCTATCCAGTCTCTGCAACTGAAATGCCACTCGTTGGATATTTTCTCATTTTGGGACCATTTTCTGTAAACTCAGATATGTTTGTGAGGGAAACTCCCAGTTTCTGAAATACTCAGACAAGCCCGTCTGGCGCCAACGACAATGTCCGAAATCGCCAACATCACCTAAGTCATCTTTCTCGCCCGTTCTGATGTTCACTTTGAACTTCACCAAGTTGACCTGACCATGTTTACATGCCTGAACG